TTGGCCGCCTGCCTCTTAAGACATGACGTTAAGTCTTCCTGGCCCTTGAAAGAACCTACCCTTGACATGTGAACAAAGGCTCAGTGACTTCGCTGGTTAGATCTCTCTTGGCTCCAAACATCCTGGCTTCACCTGTCCAGGTGAACACTGATATCCTTCTGGTATAACTCACTTTCCTCACTTGTCGGTCTCCTGACAAAGTTCTAGGGATATTATCAACCACTAGCCCCAAGCCCTGCTAGACCCACCCTAGTGTCATTTAGACATATGCAGTAGGGTCTCAAAAAATGCTTACCGTTGTTAAATTGACTTACTGGACTTCCGTAAGCGACCATCTAAACCCTGTACTGTTTAAAGCATTATTCTGTTCATTCTTCACTTGCTCCCCAGATATACTCTTTGCTGGGACATAATTTAGTTATCTACTCTAGTTTTAGGTGACAAGTGCTCAGTTACTGCCTCTATTATGTTCATTCATCCACTGAGTTAGTTTCTGGATCGTGTCCACGTGACTCTTTTTCATGTCCACCAGAGAGCCTTCTGCAGATGATGTTAATAGCTGTTTGATAGCAGTGAATTGGTTTTGCTTTTGCTAGTGTATAAAGGAGGTATGGTAAGAGAAGAAACGGACTTTGAAGTCAAAGGAGTCTGGATTGGACCTTGCTATTATTAGCTACTTAAAGGCTTTATTTCTTCATCTATAAAAATGATAATTAGAAAGACTTCCCTGTATGGTTGTTAAGATTAAATGAGATAATACATGCAAAAGAGCATAGCACATAAAAGACCCTTAATATTCATCTCCCTTTCTCCACCTTTTAAAGAAACAAGATTATAGTCATCCACGCAGCACTACTCTTTAGGTTTTGTTCAGAACAAGACTCTGAACCATACTTATACTAACTTATACTTTACAAGGCATAACTGGTCATTGTCTTAAGGAAACACCAAAAGAGGTTAAATACTATTCCTTCACGATTAAATACTATGTTAGGCTTATTATTTAAAATATCTAATGCCCATTTCCCCACTAACATAAAATTAATAAAAATGTAATTCAATGCATTGACTCACTGATTTAGCAAACATTTTATCCTCATTGCTGAACTTATAAAAAGTGCTAGGTCAGGAGTCTGAACAAAATGAAATAGATCTCTGCCATCATGGAGTTTACCAAGTTACCTTCAGGGGAAACTCTAGAAGAGATCCTTGTGCGGAAAGATTGCAACTATGACATTTTATTCAATCAATGGCAGGACATTAAAAATTGCTTACATTAAATGCATATTGCTGAGTTCCCACTGAACACTTGTTTCTAATTTTTAATACATGGAAATGCTGCAGTAAAATATACCACAGGCAATATATTGTAGAAATCACAACCATTTTCTTCTTATGTACCAACAAATATTTTGGAAGAGGGAAATGAGAGATAAATCTTGTTTTCAATCAAATGGAAAAGATTTGAATAGATAAGTGTGTATCTAACGTTTTCAAAGATTCTTCACATTAATTTTGCAAACAGCCAGGATTTGGATGCTAAAAAATTTCCAAACATTCATGGACTCCTTTACATCAGTGTTCACAGGGTCACATAATAAATATTGGAAAGTCTGGATGTCAAATAAACACAGTTTGATTTTAAAGTGTTTAATGCACATACTTTATTTAAATGTTGCTTTGAATACTGAGATATGATTTTAGTATGCTTACAGTTACTCTAATACATACTTTTAAAACAACGGTCAAAGCAGCAATTACATCAGCCCACTACAGAAGTGCTATACACCCAATTAGTACTTTGGTAAATTATCAAACAAATGTACACAAGAGCACTTTAGCAGAAACTAATTTGGGAGACAGCAAACTGCTAAATTCTGTACAGGAATCCAGTGGAAGAAGAGTCATTCTTGGAGATGGAACAACGCCATGACTTCACAGCCTAGAATGTGCCATATGACCATCAGTGGACCATTTCAACCACCTAACAACCAAGGGGAGCTGCCAGAGAGTCAAGCGGTCTCATTCCAGATGCCAAAAGCAACAGGCAGGTCATCACAGTTTGGCTTCTAAAGACATGACTTTTTATTTCTGCTGAAGTCATCCAGGTAAGTGAATATAATAAATGCAATAAAACGTAAGCCAACCAGAATTTTATGTCACTTTGCACAGACGCAGGTATGTGAACTGAAGTGCCAAAGGAAAATACAAATATATGTTTGTGTTTAAGGGTTCAATGCTAAACTTTAACCATCCCTTCCCCCACTGCACCTTGAAGCATTTTCTTATTATAATATTACTGTGAAATTAAATCCTTGTCCATTCTTAGAAAGAAAACTAAATGTCCTGTCTGATACTGAAGAGCTAGCATAGGCCTACTCATTCTCTGCCAAGATTTGTTTTAAAAAAAAATTCAATTCCACTTAGAAAAAATAATTTCTATTTAAATTACATGCTAACAATTCTTCAAAGTAAGTAATTTCCCATCATAGAGTACTGAAATTCAAAACTGATCCTGCCAAAACTTTATTTATTTTTTATTTTTTCAGAAAAACTGCATACAACTTTGACACACTTAACACAAGGGTCTGTAACAAATAAATGGTTGATGGAAAGCAGGACTGCATTTACACTAGAATATATAAGGTACTCAAGAATTTATACTTGTGAAAAATCACAATGATTTTAAGGATATTTTGCCAAATCAATGATGGCAAATAAAGTTAGGCAACACATTTTAGAAAGATGATTTATATACTACATATAAACGAAAGGCAAACATAAATACAATTGATTTAAGTTTAATTACATTAATATAATTTACACCATACCTATACCCACATGGTAACAGCCACATGGCAAATTCACAGTTATAGCCAAAAAACTATTTAGAACAGTCCTTCTGTTCCACTACTATTTGCATAATTCCCAGTAATAGACTTAAAAGCCTAATACGTGTATGCTTATCTTTTATGGATTATAATAATCTATAAGTTATACTTCAACATCGTGGCTTGAAAAACAGACACTAGTGTGTTTTTATGCTTTAGTCAAAGCTGACTAGTTTCAGGTTTTAAAAACCTTCAGGCTGAGCAGAGCAAAATCCACTCCAGACCAAGGCCTACATGTCCTACAGATTCTTCTTTGTCACAGATGGCAATCCACCCAATGCATCAGTGACTCTTAAACCTCTGAAGTCAATGACATCACTCCCACGCTGGTTTTTTAAAGTCAAAGAGAGGAATAGCAATGTGAAGAATTCAAAACAAAAATAAAACCTACATTTTTAGCAGGTCATCTTGTGCTTTAGAGTTTCTGTTTGCTTGTTAGTTTGGAAACTCTCCATACTCCTAAATGTAGCTTCCATGTTTATGTCCCAAGACCCTACTGAGAAAGAGGGAGAAAGTTCTCCAGGTTTCTTAGCCTACCTTTGGTTCCTCACTTCCCAGGCAATGAATAGGAGACCATATCCTTTCTTGTAATGTTTTTCTTTCTTTTACCAAACTTCCTTGAAAAAACAAAAAACACCTTGAAATATTTCCATACCACTTTTTCCCAAAGGATAATTCCTGATTAAGACAGGCAGGAAAACTCAAGATTTCTTTGCTTCCATTCCCCAGAAGGTGAGATGTGAATATTGATGTTGTGCCCTCTTCCTTCTAATAAGCCTTGAGTAAAACTTAAAGAAAAGTCAACCTGAAAACTAAGAGTTGAAGGTACATCAACTTTATCGTTTTGGTTTTTCTTTTGTTTCCACAGAACTCCACGTCATTCTTAACACTTCAGTATTTTTCTCACATCCTATTATTTTATATGCAAATTACAATATAGCAATGTAGCTTCAAATACTGTTCTGTTCCTAGGCTTTTCCACAGAAGTTACCCACCACAGAATATCTCCTACAGCCATTTTTAATCTATTTCCTTATCTCCCAGTAGCCATTGGTTCTCCACTCTGAAACCTCCCTCAGTTTGTCAAGAGTTCTTAGAGATAAACATATCAATAATTGAAAGCTAACTGGTGAAGGAGCTATGCAGGATTGTTCCCTTTCATTTTCCATTAGTCTAAAATATACATATGTACATACACCTACACATACAACAAATTTACACTGTCTGCAGAAATAAGCTGCAGATGTAATTCCATACACACATTTAGAGATTCACATTTTAACAGCAAACTTACACACAGATATAAGGAAATATAGTTTTATACTCCTAAGTTACATAGCAAGCTAGAATAGATAAGGCTTTTTTTTTTTTAGATTTATTCTTTCTTAGGAGTCTTAGAAAAAGGAGACATAAACCTCAAGCTATGTCTGTAGCAGTTATCAGTCAACGTGGGATTATTTTTACTGACGAATTATCCGACTTGCTTACTCTACACAAAAAGCGATAATATAAACATTCTGTATACAAAACACAAAACACAGAATTCGAGATAACAAATGGAAACGTTATACAAAATACTTGATACCATCAGTATGTAACTCTGTATAGCTTTGACCAAAGAACTCTTAGTCTGGACATTTTTTTCTGATATGAAGGAATAGTCATAGCTATATAGCATTCTTACCTACAGTAAAACAGGAATGAATTGACTGGGGGCAGGAGAGACCTGGTGACACAGGTGAAATACGTAAGTGCACTGTTGTACATATGTATACAGCTTAGCAGTGTCATGTTAGCTGAATTAATTTCTTTTGCATTGTTACATTCACCAGTAGGTGATCCAGAGTACAAAATATAGTAACAGAGAACTCAGTTTTCATACTTAATGCTTGGTACAGTTATTAAAAATAAACACTTGCAGATAACCATTGAGTAGCTGTCAAAATACTGACTAGTTTTGAGGAACTTGAAGGCAAGAACCTGGTCAAATGAATAAAGATCAGAAATGGTCAAAAGAAATTCATATAGAAATTTAACACTCAGCAAGTGTATCAAAACCATTTTTCATTTGCTCACTCAGAGACTCATTCACAATAGCTGAATTACACGTATTTATACTGAGTATGTACAGTTAGTTGAACATAAATATGACAGGTATTTATGAAAAACTACTATGTAGATGGTTACTAAGTTTATAGTGATGTGTGTACTGATCAAGTGAGTCCTAGGGTCACCTTGGTACAGTCAACTTTTTAAAATCTGATCAGTTTCTTGACACAATCAGTGAAACTGCACAGAAACTCCAAGTCCCAGCAAGTGATCAGGCCCATCGTCCACTGGAGGCAAAGCTTCTGCTGAATGAGAAGTTGATCTCAGAGGCCTTGTATTTTCCCCAAGCACCAAAAGGCACCACTACTGCAGTAGTGTTATCTTCAGTACCGTACTGTATTGCCTGCAAGTTATGGCAGGAAGGAAGAGATGAGCAATGGGAGTCAGAGTCTGTACAAAAAGAAATGGCCTTTCTCTGGAAGGCCAAACTGGCTTAAAACATAGTTACTGACGCAATTATTTCACAGTGGTTTGTATCAATTGCGTATAGGATAACTGATGTCCCAAACAACTATATTAACTCTATGACACTGTAGCAGTTTTGGCAATAAATACACCAGTGGACTAAGGTACAAGATACGTAGCTCCTGAAGAAGAAAACACGTGTAAAGCATTTAGCACAGGGAATAATGCAGGGTTAAGGATTCAGTGTTAGCTCTTACCTAGCATTTCTGCTCCTAGGAATTTAGCTTAAAGAAATAATAACCTAAGGAAGTGGATGTGTATAAAGTTATAAAACTATAAGAAAGTTTATTACAGTCTATACAAAATAGAAAATTGGCATAAACTAAACTTCCTACAGTGGAATTATAAATCAATTTTAGGAACTAATGCAAATAGCAAATTATATAGTCAGCATTAATAAGTACTTGGGATTACAGCAAATGTACTTCAAAAGACCTCAGAGCCTGGGACTTCCTGGGTTCGATCCCTGGTCCGGGAAGATCCCACATAACTGTGGAGCAACTAAGCCCATGTGCCACAACTACTGAGCCTGCGCTCGGGCCCGCGAGCCACAACTACTGAGCCTGCGCTCTAGAGCCCACGAGCCACACTACTGAAGCCCGCGCGCCTAGAGCCCGTGCTCCTCAACAAGAGAAGCCTGTGCACCGCAACGAGAAGTAGCCCCCGCTCACCGCAACTAGAGAAAGCCCACGCACAGCAACGAAGACCCAACGCAGCCAAAAATAAATAAATAAATTTATTTATTAAAAAAAAAGAAAATACCTCAGAGCCTGAGGTCAAAACTCTGAAGAAAAAGATTGATAAAAAATATGTGATACAGGGGCTTCCCTGGTATCACAGTGGTTGAGAATCTGCCTGCCAATGCAGGGAACACGGGTTCGAGCCCTGGTCCGGGAAGATCCCACATGCCACGGAGCAACTAAGCCCGTGCACCACAACTACTGAGCCTGCTCTCTAGAGCCCGCGAGCCACAACTACTGAGCCCGCGAGCCACAACTACTGAAGCCCGCAAGCCTAGAACCCATGCTCTGCAACAAAGAGAAGCCACCGCACCGCAGCAAAGAGTAGCCCCTGCTTGCCGCAACTGGAGAAAGCCTGCATGCAGCAATGAAGACCCAATGCAGCCAAAAATAAATAAATAAAATAAATAAAGTAAAAAAAAAAAAAAAAAGAGCCATCTATCCAAACAGAGTATTAACACGTGGAAATTTTACTTTTTTTTTTACTGGATATTATCCAGCTTCCAAATTTTAGCTCTGACTGGCACACCGACATACCACTCATCCATATACCTTTTTGTATTTGTTTCTACACACCCATTTTTCAAAACCAGAAATTGACTATGCTATAGTGTTTCTACATTGGATATTCATGTGGAGCAGTCTAGTTTAAAATGGTCCAGTGGCTGGATTCAGGAGCTCGGCTGTCTGGGTTTGAAGACCAGTTCTGCAACGTGACAATCTTGCCATCTTGAATAAGTTACTTAATGTCTCGGCCTCTGTGCCTCTGCTCTCTTCCTCTGTGAAGAAGGGATAATTCTAGCTCCCGCCTCAGAGGGTTATCATGATGATTACATGAGTTAAATACATATGAATAGAAAAGTGCCTGACAGACGGTAACATTAGTATTCGCTAATGTTATAATTTACCAGTGCTGTTACTATCATTTCAAGATGTGTACAAAGCCAAAAAATAAACATAGCTCATTTCCTTGGCATACTGATTTTACTTAACTACTTGGAAGAATTGTAAAAACATTTTTAATTGGAAATATCGTGGAGTCAGGTGTAAAATTCCATGTAATACTAAAGCTAAAGCAGAAGATTTCACAGAAATCTGCAGTCAGTGGTGGCGGCCCCTCCAGGCTGCACCGAAACCTGCACCTGGCTTTGTGCCCTCCTCCCCGCCCTGGGACTTCTCTAGCAGAAGCTCTGCTGTGTCACCTGTTCAGTAACTGCATGGGCGGCTTCACTGGGATCGTGGCACTGATTGACGAAGTCACAGATCTCTTGGCTGTTTACCATGAAGTTAATGCCATCTGTAGTGAGGACCAGGAAGCTGTCATCAGCATGATGTAGCTGCGGTCAGAACCAAATGCACAGGGTTATAAACCAGACAGCCTGAGAATAATCTTCATGATGCAACAATTTTATCTGTTTTCTGAGTGGTCATCCGTGTGTCAGAGCTTGTAGGCAAACAGAGTGAAAATGGAAGGCCTGCATTTAGGGCCAAAATGGCAACATTTAGCATCAATCACTGAGGACAAACCTAACATTTACCTAGTAACACCCTGGAGGAAGAAGCCAGGTAGCCAAATGCTGCCAGGCAGCCTGATGTAATGGCTGAGAGCACTGTCTCTGGAGCCAGGCTCCCTGGGTGTGAAACCCACCTCTATTTTTCAACTGGGCAAACATAGGTAGATTGAAGTGTATATGCTCCAGATTTGTTTTCTCTGTAAAATGGGGTAGGAGTAGCTATTTTCAACAGAGCCTGGCACATAGTAAACTGCTATGTAAGTATTTGTTAGACGAAAGGAATATAAGTGGGATATCTATAAGCCATAAAATCGTTCAATAGATTAACAACCATTTGCTGCCGTTATTGGGAGCCTACACTATAATGTGCCAGGTACTAGAGCAGGCTGGGGGTTGCACAGGTGAAGTGTCAGCTCACCACTGGGTGTATGCTGGGGGAAGCGTAGCATAATGGGGGCAATGATTAGTAGCAAGCAAAAGATGTCACAAAGAGAGAGGTGGGACAATTATGCAGCTTGGTGGAAAAAGGAAGTCAGGCTCAGCTTCCAAGGGAGAGGGGTGCTGAATGATGAGGGGCAGGTGAGCAAGGGCAGGACAGTGATGCTTCCAGGCCAATTCCACAGCAGGGTGACACAAAGCCAACACTTCGTCATACATTCGGCCAGGAAAGCACTATCCTATTTTATCTGAAAAGTTTATCTATCCTTCCATTAGTAACTTCTGTCTAAAAGCCATTCTGGGGACTTCCCTGGTGGTGCAGTGGTTAAGAATAAGCCTTCCAGTGCAGGGGATGCGGGTTCAATCCCTGGTTTGGGAACTGAGATCCCGCATGCCGCAGGGCAGCTAAGCCTGTGCGCCGCAACTACTGAGACCATGCTCTCTGGAGCCTGAGCGCCACAACGAGAGAGGAGCCCACGCACCGCGAGGAAGAGCCTGCGTGCCACAACCAAAAGATCCCGTGCGCCACAAGTAAGACCCGACGCAGCCCAAAACCAATAAATAAATAAATAAAGTGAATATTTTTTCAAAAACTAAGAATAAAAGTCACTCTGGCTTCAATTAAGGCTTCCAAGAAAGCCTGCGGCTGGAGACAATCCTGCATTCCTTCCTTGCCTGTGTATCAAGGGTTTGCAAGTCCTTTCTTACCTTAATCCTCTTTGTTTCTGGTTCTGCTATCACACCACTGGTTTTAAGATCCAGATCTCCAAGACTCCTGGTCATCGCGAGTCTGCCGTTCACGTGAGGCTGCCCCAAACTATTCCAAGCTATAAAACCTCCACATTTCTTAATCCTGGTCAAAAAAAAGTTAAAAGACTACGTTGTGATACCCAGAAAACCAAGGCTCCGTTAAACTTAAGCATAAAATCAGTTTAAAATGCAAGGTTTTATTTCTATCTTGAACTATATAAATACTATCCTTATAGAAAGATTGATGAGTGGAGGTGGTACCTTTCTTTTTCATCTTTTCTTTCTGGAGTATGGTCAATTGTCAGCTTCATGGGTTTTCCTTTTCTGCACAAGATAGCTCGGCTATCGCCAACACTGGCTACAACCAGTTCAATACCATCTCTCAAAAGGGCTACTGTTGCAGTAGTCCCAGAGGTCGGAAGGGTCGCTGCAGACACGATGAAAAAGAGTACAAGTCAGTGACAGTCAAATGATTGGATGTGGAATTTTTATTACAAGATAAAACATAGGCATGTTAAACTAATGCTGAAATGTATCATTCTAATTTAACTAGAGCTATGCAAATAAAATGCAAATGAACTATGTAAGTAAGAGCATGCAGAGAAAGAGGTATTTAATTCAGTAACAAGGCTCCATGCAAACAGAAAAAGTTGCTAACCTAATTTGGTAAAAAATGCATCACTGTCTCCAAATGGCTTCTATTTATATACAGTAGGGTTCACTTGAATAGATCATTATTACACCTTTGTGTGTACATCAGGGGTTGGGATTAAGAGTATTACATTTTAATTAGATTGGCTAATATGGCAGGATGATTTAGGTCTACAGAGCCCATTTAGGCAAGCCAACTTTTCTAAAATCTATGCACTCAACTTTTTTCTTCCATTTCTTACTCCTGTCCTGTGAAATTATTATCAGTTAATAGGCTAAGCAAGATATGCCAAGAGCCTCCTAAAACGGTTAAAGGTTCACATTCTTTTCTCATCTTTGTCCTCCCCAGACATGAAACAAAGGTACAGCCATCATTATATTAGGAGTAAATCTGGAGGGCAGGGAATGAAATTCATTCTAGTTTCCCATAAACTTGGTATAGTTCACGCTTGTAGTTCTACCGAACGATCAGTCTGTCCCCAGATGCCGGACAGTGCTGCCAAGTGCTAATCCTGTGGTCAAGCCCTGGGTCCAGAGCACTCCAAGAATATTAATTTCCTCTGACCAATAACAAAATTATACGTTGCTTGGCTGGAGGTCACCGCTATTTCCTCCATCCAATCCAAAGTGCATTTTTGCATCTTTATTTGGTGTATTCTAACAGTGTCTGCCCTTTCTTTGGTGTATTCTAACAGTGTCTGTTAGTTCTTTACTACTTGTTAAAAGTTTTGAGGGTGCATTGAGCCTTGTCAAAGTGAGAATACTGTGAAATTATGGGCTAAAAAGGAAAGGAAATTGAAAAAATCAAAAAAGATAGCATTTAAAGCAGGTATTATCTTCAGTAACATGGTTAATTCTTTAAAGCATCTAAATAAAATATTCAGGTGATCTTCTAAAGATGATTTTGACTTCAGAGGAAGATTTAGGAAAAATGAAGTGCTATTGACTGACCGAAGCTCAGTCTTTCCCATTTTTTTTTTTTTAAAGACAATTTTAAAAACAGCAGTAATGCATTTTGGAAAGATATATATGCATGTATTTTCCAATCAGTATATTAAAATGCCTGCTTTAATCAGAAGAGGAAAATGGAAAAAAACATGAATAAACCCTGCTTAATCTTCTATATCTGTGCCGAATTTACTTTATGGAGAGAGCGTGTATATAGTTGCAATATCTTCCCATTTATCTCTTTTGATTTTGGAACTGCTGTGCCAAAGTAGTATCATCTTGGCAGAACTAAAATATATAACATATCATAGTTGTACAACACAAACGTTTTAGTGTATCAGTGATGTTTATATTACAGATGTCAACTTGTGAGTGTCCTAAAACATTATACAAGGGAAGCCTTACAGTTGAACCTCTGTAATCTTTTCAAATGATAAGAGCCAGGCGAGAAAACATAGGCGTTTACTCAGATGCCACCTGTCCAGGGAGTTTAGTATTCTCCTTTGTTTAAACTGACAGGAGCAGCTTTTCTCTCTCTCTCTCTCTCTCTCTTTTTTTTTTTTTGGCCGCGCTACACAGCAGCATGCGGGATCTGAGTTCCCTGACCAGGGATCGAACTGGTGCGCCCTGTAGTGCAAGCTCCAAGTCTTAACCACCAGGAAAGTCCCAGGAGCAGCTTTTTCTTAAAAGTGGTTTTTAATTGGCTACATCAAGAGTTAAAACCTCATAAATGAAAACTTCAAGTTTAGCTGCTTAGGATTATAATTCATGGCTCTGCCATTTGGGAATTTAAAAGAGCTTGAGTTTTTAACCAACCCAACTTCACAGTTCCAAAATCCCAGGATTTATGGGAAAGTTTTCAAAACTGTTGATTCTGGTTTGCTAAGCATCTAAGAATATAAATATTAAATCAGCCTTTATTTTCATTTAACATTTAACATGGAAGTAAAAATTCTCACTTTTTTCCCTAACAACAAAACTATAAAACTAAGACATCTTTCAATAAGTTCTTAACACTCACTGGACATTTTCTACTGCAAGTCATCTCAACTAATGGGACAAAGAGGATGTGGGAACCTTCCAGTAGTCCAGGCTAGGAACCGCTGGACTCCTTCACCTGGGACAAAATTAAGCAGATCTCTCTTTCCACTGAAGCCCAGCATATAGTGTCCACGGGCTCCAGGTCTAGAGCTGCTGACCAGGCACAGTTCTCTGCCACAAATAACACGCACAGAGGCAAATAGGAAATTCACCCAGGAATTGTGCTCAAACATTACAAACCTGCAACACAGGGGAGGGTAGAGAAAGAGCTGCAAAATAAGGGGAAGGGTTTTATTTTGGTGAAAATTTCACTAGCAAATTATATAATATTCCAGGAGATGCCAAATCAATGATTCCAAAACTCAGTTTGCCCAAGTTGATGGTATTTTGTAGTTGAGTCTGTTTTTCATCACAGAGCAACACTTCTTAGTTTTGTGGCTTCCCAAGGCAGGAAAACCTATATACAAATGTATGTGTACCAAGACACATATTGTGGTGACACAGACATCTACATACTCATGCACGCACACATAGTCAGTCAGTCAGTCTTGAAGAGTAAATCAGTACGTTTATTGAGTTGAAAAAAATGCACTGTAAATTTGTTTGGTATCAATATCAGAACTGTCCCAGTTACAAAATGGAAAATTCATGGGAATTCCTGGGTAGAGCACTGAATAGTTCGTATCTGACAAGCATACCAGAGAGGATGTAAACTACAGTATACCACCAAATTACTGGGATTTAAATATAAATCAAGAAGGAATCAAAGCACCTCCTATACCAGATACCAGGAGTGACTTATTGTTAATGGTGCTAAATGCAAGGATTTTAGTATCTATAAGGCATTTTTTGAGTAGAAGATTAAATTAATTGTTTAAATAAAGGCTAGCAAGGCTCTTGAGCTCTAATGAATGTTTACAATGTTATGTAATTCATAAAATGGGAGTTTCTGCAGCTCTCTCTTTCCTCCAGTGTCGCAGGTCAATATATCAAAAGAAAAATGATCAAGATTTTGAATGGCCACATAAAGAGTAAAGCTATACTTTTCAAAGTATAACCCCCCCCCAGTAATTATTCAACTGTGTAAAAAATAATATGTATAAACCAAGACAGTTTCAGTGTTTCTCAAAAATGGGCATATTCTAGACATGTATGAATCATAAACACATCAGTAACAAGCTGAAGCAGTAACAGCACAATAAGAATATCTCTTCAATGCTGTCCCTATTTCGTTTGCTTTTGGCTGCCTCCAACATAAGAAGGGAAATCAAAGACATTGCATTTCTCACACTGGTTATGTTTTAGTTTAATTCTTCCATAAAGAGGTCAAGTAACATGAAGAGCATGGAAGTTTCCAGTGAGACTCACAATGCTGCCAACGTCTCCCACTCTGAACGTCAGAGCATGGAAGTTGTTTCCAATGAGACTCACAATGCTGTCACCAACGTCTCCCACTCTGAACGTCAGAGCAAGTCTTCTCTTTTTGATCCATTTGTCTCTTGGGGAGCTTTGTTGCTTTCAAATCTTAAGCAATCTAGAAACACTTCGAAGAGTTTATCGGATATATAGGATATCATCTAAGTTTTCTACCATCTGGTTTAAGTGACAGTTTGTTCATTAAACAACAGACTAATGGGACATCATTTGAACTTACTGGCTGGTTTCATTAATTGTAAAAATACACATGACTGGTATAAAATGAATACAAAATATTCAAAGATGATGATGAAATTAGCTATTTGTAAATAAGGGTAAATTGAAAATGCATCTACAACAAATCAATAAAAATAGCCAGCAATTTCTTAAGGGCTGTTTCTTGATAAGTGGCATTCTGATTTTATTCTCCTCAAACTACCCCCATTTTAAACTGAAATAGTAAATATTTTAAATGGTAATGAGATAATTGGAAGTATTTTATGCAGATATTGGATGAAAGTCTCAAAAAGAAGAGAGTGTTTTATTTTCACTTTCTTTTGAGAAAGCTAATAGTATGACGTGGGGCACTCTTCCCTACCTGAAATTCCAGCATTAGTGATTCATTCCTATGGTTTAACCAATCTCTTTTCAGCTTTCCTTACTCAAAACTCAAATCCCCCCTAGAAGTGATGTCATTAAAATATATACATTATATTAATAATTCGGTTAAATCAGCTATAGGATAATCAAGGGATAAGTTATAATAACTTTGGTAAGAAAGAGTAGGCAGTGGAGATCAGTTTAGTCCAAATAATTATTGAGTACCTTCCAGACTCTCCACAGGGTGCTAAACCCTAGAGATTCAAAAATGAATAAGCCATGGCCCCTACCCTCAAACTGATCACAGAAAGCATTCAAGAAGGGAAAATGGAGCTGATGCTAAAAGAAAAGGTGAAAGAAATTGGAGAGGGCAAACTGCACTTACTTCACAATTCTATTTTACTAGCATCGGTCCTACTCACAGCTATGCCAAAAAGAATATTATTCGCTCTTATAATACTGATACTGCTTCAGTTCTTACTAAAAACTAAAAAATGATTTTTAATTTAAATAATAACTTTGAAATCTGAAGTGGTACACTTTTTTTTTTTAATCCACATATTGAAAGGTTAAACAACGTACAGCATCCTATCTTTAGTGGCTTTAATATATTTGATAAAATAGCCCCCAAATATCAAAAGGCAATTTTTGCCACCTTTGAAAGCCTTGGCAACTGATTAAGAATAAATTTAAAGTTGTTCTCAAAATACTTACTTAAAAAAAACCACACGGACTAATTGATCTATAAGAACACATCCAAAATAAGACTTCAGAACAACAGTGTCATAACAGACCCTTTCTTTTTCTTTTAGTAGTACACTAAGCATCATTCTGTCATGCTCCATTATACTCTCAAGCAAATGGCCATCAAATGAAAAATAAATTTTAGAATATCTTATGAAAGGTCTGAGATCATTAACTCAAAGTATGTGATAGAGGAACTAAGTTATATAAATGAATTTTCAGTTCATTATTAGAAATGAAGTACATTTTTATGATTAATGTCTTTGCACAACTGAATTGATGTGAGAAAGGCATCTTTAGAAAGGTTCTTTTAAGGTAGGCAAGTTAAGTCAATTCTCTCCCTAAGTTCAAAATTCCTTTTAACTGTAATTTGTTATTTAATAAATGAAAAGGAGTACTCTCACATTTTATACCAAATCTATCACTGTTTTAAGCATCTTCGTCAAGTAGATCCTTTACAAAAGGGCTAACTGCACCCATGAAGGGTTAATGGTTTTTGATTGTTGGCCACATTCCCATGGTAAACTTGAACATTCCTTTCTGAAAACCTTGCCCAGTGAGCTCTACCTATTTACACAACAGCTGGGGCACACCACCTGCACTACAGCCGATAAACTTCGCGGTGTGATACGCAGCCGACCTGCTTATGGATGAGATAAAAGCATACCAATATTCAGAGTTATAAAAATACAACTATAAGAAAGTGTTTTGATGTCCTCTTCACTTTCGTATGTTTTACCCACGAGGAACCAGTACAGAATCTTATGCTAAAATCTACCATCTCTCAACCCTTATTTTCACAAGGTGAGGGGCCAGCTGGAAGGCAGAAAAAAAGTCCAAAGGAACGAAGAAGAGAAAATGGGCCTGAATAATCTACAAAACAAGAAAATAAATCCCTGAACTGAACAAAGAGAGTGGACTCTAATGCTTTTCGGGGAAGTATGATGATGATAAGTTTCTCGAAAAAGAGGAGGAAAAACTTCTTAAAAGGGCAAAGAGAGCCATCCTAGAGTCATCCTCTCTAATACTCATCTTTAAATACGCCCATGAGAGAGGCCACGGTGGGCGCCAGGAACATCTCAGCCCTAACTCTGCAATTGACCTTTTACCTGTCTCTGAGTTTCACTTCCTTATCTGTGAAGTAGGAGAATTTCCAGCCCTATGCACTCCAACTGAAAATTACAAAAATAATATTGCTGTGGTACACTTTGACCTCCTTTAAACAAAAGGATGAACAAAACACAGATTAATGTTACTGCATGATTCATTTTCAACTCGGTTATGAGGTCTATATGCATACATTTAAATGGTTGCTGCAGAAGTTTTCAAGGTTAACTTTATGAGCAATAAACTGGGGGGCCAGCTAACCAAAAAACATCAGCTACATTTTCCTGAAATGGTCTTGATAAATTTAGTCAAAATCAGAAACACTTTACTTTCAAAATGTAAGGTCATACAGTACACAAATTCTAAAATTCAGCTGCCATGGCCTTGTGTTTAACAAATAAAAAAATGTCAACTGGTTACCACAGGAAAGCTGCAAGATCAAGCTTTTTTAAGAAATGGGAGAAAAAATATCTTCCTTCTAATTTTACAGAGTAGTGCATATTAGCCATTGCCCTTTTCTACTGAGGACCAATTAGCAATTTTCTTCTGATGTGCACATTTACTCTCTGGCTAGATTAGATTACCCTGTACTGAATTTCAGTACTTGCTCGTCAGATTCCTCTAAAAAAAAAGACCCAAAATAATAAACCCTCTCATAGTACGGACCTCTTGCCCATAAAACAAGCAATCAAACAGATTAAAAAATGTTTTTTAATCTTTTTAAAATTGAGATTCAATATCAGAACCATTTTGGAGCTCCAATTGCTAAAACAATCTCCAATATAGTTCATTTAAGAGTGGATTTAGTTTGGATTCCAAATAACATTTAAAGTGATTCTTCATTTAAAAAATCATTTTCAACATAAGCATCCTTACAAATAAACTTACATTAAAATTCCCACCCCTAAAGGGCTTAAAATGTGTCCTTTTCCCCCTGAAATGCCCCAGGACAGTAAGGAAAGAGATTGCTTTACTTACCATCAGCAGACAGGTGGGCGTGCCTTGCAAAGGCTTTATCTATTTCTAGAAAAGCCAAGGTCAACACAGTTTCCAAGTTCTCCTCCTTAGGAAGCAAATCCCTTCGTGGAGAGGAAAAAAGAGCCCCAAACAATCATTTGACTACAGGTTTCTAGCCTTCCTCTTGGTCCCTCCAGCTAGCAGTCATTCCATGCAATGGACCTCCGTGGCTTGCCTTTCAGAGGCTTCAGATCCACATATTAACGAATCAAATTGAGAAAGAATCAGGCACAGAGATAAGCCTTTAAAAACAGTCAAATAAAATCCCAGGTCTCCATCCTTAAAAAATTAATCCTCACTATCACAACCCTGAGAAGTCAAGAGTTCCTTTATATTAAATTTAAGCCACTGAGTTCCTTTGTGGAATAAGGCAAAATATATATAAATCAACTGATGAACGGTATGAATAACTATCTTGGGAAGAAGAGTCACGTGGTCATGACTGTCACATGTTCTCTCCCTCTTTTAATTCTAGCAGTAGTGTGAGCCTCAAAAATACATTAATAATAATTGCGGTAAATAAACTTTTTAAAGAGCTCCAAAGCACCCTCATTAAAAGCATTTTCCCTATTCTAATGCTAATCATCTAAAGCTATTTTCAACAAGTATTCCAAGCTATTCATACCACTTGAAAGAATAATTACCACTTACTAAAGCACTATGTGCCCTGCACTGATAGGAGTAAATGCTACTCAGATTCTCAGAGTACATGAGATCATGTACTTTATTATGTTAATTCACTTGAAATGATCACAAGTCAAGTGCTGCAGATTCTGGTCAATGCTCTCACCAAGGGAGTTGTTAAAACATACATATTTCTGAAGTGGTAATAATCATCTGTAATAAATGGCATGCTTGAGCAACTGCTTGTTCATAAAACAATAGTGTGAAAGCACTCAAATAACTACCTTAACAGTGAATGTTGAGACTTCCCTGGTGGTACAGTGGTTAAAGAATCTGCTTGCCAACGCAGGGGATACGGGTTCGAGCCCTGGTCCGGGAAGATCCCTCATGCCGCAGATGTAACTAAGCCCGTGCACCACGACTACTGAGCCTGTGCTCTAGAGCCCACGAGCCACAACTACTGAGCCCAAGTGCTGCAACTACTGAAGCCCGCGCGCCTGGAGCCCGTGCTCCGCAACAAGAGAAGCCACCGCAGTGAGAAGCCCGCGCACCGGAACGAAGAGTAACCCCCGCTCACCGCAGCTAGAGAAAGCCCGGGCACAGCAGCAACGAAGACCCAATGCAGCCATACATACATAAACAAACAAACAAACAACAACAAAAAAAAACAGTGAATGTCTCAGCCAAAAGGTGAAAGTTTAAACAGGAAGCATAAGGCACACTGCAAAGAGTGAAAGCCATTGTATCATTTGTACGTACAGGATGCATTTCTCCATGTGGGTGTGACAGAAATCGGCCGCCGACGGTCCGCCATGGCCATCATACACCGCAAAGTACAGGACTTCATCTGTCAGCTGAGCAAAGCCAAACCGGTCTTCGTTCTCTTTTCGTTTGCCAATCTGTGAGGCGCAGCCCACGTTCGCCAAGCTGACTTTGGGAATCGGCTTGCCATACTTAATGCTGGGCGGCAGCAGAATCGGCTCATCGATGCGGTTATCCCAGATGCCAAAATTATCCCAGGTGGCTGGCCGTCCGCTACCATCAGGGTCAAACCGAGAACACCTGGTCTCTGAAGTGGAGCTGTGGCACGTGGGCGTCACCCACCTGTCGTCCTGCAGCAGGCGGGCGCCGAGCAGCGCTTTCCTCCTCACCTGGTTCCCAGCACTTCTAACCAAAGTAAGTAAGGCAGCTGTGGACATAACTCCAGAGGACTCAGGAATTGGGGAAAGGTCAATGGAACAACAATGGGCTGTCTTCCAGAGAAACGACGCAACTGAGTTGAAAGAGAGAAAGAGAGAGAGAGAGAGAGAGAGAGAGAGAGAGAGAGAGTGGGACTCCATCAATGATTTCAAATATAACTGATATATCATTAGATAGTACCAAGAATGAAGTCTGTAAAGAAGGTGGCACTTAACAGCCTACTTCTAAGAATAGTGGATCAAAAATGAATTGATTTACCTACCCCATTCACAGGGTTTAAATTCTATAAAAATTTGACAATGTGCACAGCTCACATAGAACAAGTGCTTCTCCAACTTTAACCTACAATCACTTGGGGATCTTGCTGAAATGTAAATTCTGATTCAGTCTGTCAGGTGAGGCCTGAGATGCTGTATTTCAAACCAGCTCCCTGGTCCCGCAAACAAGTTGCTGGTCGGGCAGGCCCACACTTTGAGTAGCAAGAATATAGAAAACAGGTGTAACTAAATAGTCTTCCCTTCATTAACTCCATTGCTCTGAAGAAAAGGTGGGGAAAAATATTAACAGTAACCAAGTCTCTTACGAGAGTTAGAAATTTAAAAAAAACTGGTTAATAGAATATTTATGATAGTTCTGTACTCAGAGAGGTGCCCAAGTTTTAGCAAAGATACAATCTAGGATCTCAGTTCAGTTTAAGATTTCTCAACTTACTAAACTTTATTATTCTGGTTAATGTAAACTGGGTCGTGCAAACACGTGTCAGAGGCACAAGGATAAGCCAGCTCTCATGTGTGTGATCTCAGGAACTGGGGGGAACTGCACGAGTGACAAGCAGCCCTGATTTATGAGCCACTGATCTATGCATTTACATTAACAGCTGCAGCTCATCCGAAAGCCTCCCCAGGGCGTTGGCAGTGGGAATTCCTACACCCCTGCCGGAAGGGCTGTGTTTCTGGCAGTTTGCCATACAAATAAGGTTCTAAGCAGAAATTCGTCTCCATAGTGTTTCGTTCTGTTACTTTATGAATTAGAAACCAACTGTAAAAAATAGCACAATGTTACGATTTGATAATGCTGGCGGAGGGTATACAGGTGTTATATTATTCTCAACTGCACGTTTGAATTGTTTCGGAATAAAAAAATGAATTTGAAAAAAATGTATCTCCCCAAAAGGCACACGTGAACACACACAAAAAGCCCAGCTTGAATTCATCTACAAGAAAATGCATTACAGATTTGAAACAATCATTTTCAATAAGTTTTTGGGAATCAGTCTAGCTGTGTGTAGGAAGGACCATTACTCCTTTCAGTAAGCAGTAGAAGGAAAGGATGAGGTTCCAAAGAACGCCCTTGGATACCTAAGCAATGGAAGACATCTGAGCCCTGCCTTCTCAGAATTTAGAATGAAGATGGCCTCCCAAACTATTAATGGGTCACAAAAGACTTAGGAGGCCGTTCCCTCTTGGCCTTTTAGCTAATAGCATGTACTAAAGTCTGAAACTCACTTCTTTTATGACGATACTGGGGTCGGGGGAGACATAGCACCTCCAGTTACCAAAGGGAAACCACATCCCATTACTCCTTTGCTTCTGTTTGAAGCAAACAGAAGTTTTTTTTAAGTTATTCAAGTTTTTTTTATGTTATTCAAAACCAAAAACTGTCAAATAAAGGTAAACTTGTGGAGAACTTTCAAAGTATAATACAATCTAGCAAGTAAGAGAACTGAGTACTAATTCTTGATGGAGATAATTCACAAAGCAGCTTTATGTTATAGAAAAATAAAACTTTAAATATGTTTATTAGAAAACATTCACATTTGAAGAGCACCAGAAATTAGCAAAGTACTATTCTTTTGGCTTCAGTCCAAAGCATGTATACCATACTCAGCCTTGTGCCACTTTGTAGTGACACACGTACTTTAAGCAAGAGTTCTAGAATTCCAAACTAGGAAATATTAAGTTTTTCTGCAGCTCTTCTAGGATACTCTTTTCTCTCTCTCTCTCTCTCTCTCTCTCTCTCTCTCTCTCTCTCTCTCTCTCTCTCTCTATCTCTCTTCCGAAAGTAAAATAAATAAAATGAACAGAGTTGCACTCATATCAGGGAACATATATCCATTGGAAACATTATTTGAGAATGAAAACATGCAGGTTGAGCAGTTTCTTGAAGCCTGCATAAAGTAAAATCAGTCTTCAACCTGGCCCCCTTCCTCATTCCTTATCTACACAATCATCTCAGATAGTAAGCAGAATAGTCACAGGAAAATATTTACCTTAAGGCATACTATTGGCTATTGGGGTAGATGAAATGTAACGCAGATATATTGCCAGCTTACAAAACAAGGTAGCGTCACTTATGCAAGCAGGGGAGTGTCTAAAGAAATGGTTCAGTCTCCTTTGCCTTATGCAATATAACTAAATCATTACTAATCTGAGGGAACAACTCAAAGAGGACCTGTGTTCCCAAGCTAAAGAACAACTTTGAATTAAACCTGCACATCAAGAAGTTGCCTTCAGAGCTTCAAACTACAAATCATTCATCATAGCCCACCCCCCACCCCACCCCCCACATGCCCCTGGAAATGACGAGGCACTGACTAGCAAGTGGAATTTATACTGTGGGGGAAAAAAACAAAAGCCTTAAAAAGAAAGTGTTCTTTATAACAAAAAGAGTAGAGAACAAACTGACAAACACCTAAGAAATATTTTTATTATATGTCAGTTCAGCAATTAAAAATGGGCATGGGTTTATTGTTCTGCAAACCAAAAATAGTTATTCAGGGACCCTTTATGTCAATCTCTCAATCGGAAATCAAGGCTAGCTTATTTTCATTTTAACATTTACATTCAGTCTTTGAAAGTCAAAGTAATCCAAAAGAGTCAAAGGGCAGAAGTAATTGTTTGAAAGACATTTGAAGACACAAAACTGTCAGAGGAAAAGTTAAATGAACGAAGAGCCCAAGAACACATTATGCTGCACATTATATTCTACTAGCAAAAATAAAATTTAAAAACTAGCCTAAGCGGGCTTCCCTGGTGGCGCAGTGGTTGAGAGTCCGCCTGCTGATGCAGGGGACGCGGGTTCGTGCCCCGGTCCGGGAAGATCCCACATGCCGCGGAGCGGCTGGGCCCGTGAGCCATGGCCGCTGAGCCTGCGCGTCCGGAGCCTGTGCTCCGCAACGGGAGAGGC